CAGCCGCCCTGAGGCAGCATGCGTTCCTCTCTCTGTCTTCTTTAGCTGCCCCCCCCACACAGAGAAACAAACCCCTGCAGCAGGCGCAGCAGCAGCAGCAGCAGCAGCAGCAGCAGCAGCAGCAACTGCAGCAGCAGCAGCAGCTGCTGCAGCAGCAGCCCTTAATGTTCCTCTTCGATGGCCCCGCCATCCGACGCAGCTTAAACCTCAGCAGCAGCAGCAGCAGCAGCAGCAACAGCAACAGCAGCAGCAACGTACAGCTGGGGAGCTGTCTATACGCCCCATCATCACGTGCTGCCCAGCAGCAGCAGCAGCAGCAGCAGCAGCAGCAACAGCAGCAGCAGCAGCAGCAGCAGCAACATTGGTTGAATACGATGATGATGGTGTCTACGCGCCGCTACCGCCGTGAGTTGTTGCTGCTGCTGCTAAACAAAATAAAATAGATAGTGCTGCTTGTCTTTGTCTTTTTATTTTTTTTTGCCTTTGTCTTTGTCTTTTTTTATTTTATTTGTCTTCGTCTTTTTATTTTTATTTGTCTTTGTCTTTGCCTTTTTGTTTTTATTTATCTTTGTCTTTTTATTTTTATTTTTATTTGTCTTTGTCTGATTTTTTGTCTGTGTCTTTTTGTTTGTCTTTGTCTTTGTCTTTGTCTTTTTATTTTCTTTGTCTTCGTCTTTTTATTTTTATTTTTATTTGCATTTGTCTTTTTATTTTTATTATTTTTGTTTGCCTTTGTCTTTGTCTTTTTGTTTTTATTTGTCTTTGTCTGTTTATTTTCTTTGTCTTTGTCTCTTTATTTTTATTTTTATTTGTCTTTGTCTTTGTCTTTTTATTTTGATATGTCATTTTCCTTGTCTTTATCTGTTTATTTGTATTTGTCTTTTTACTTGTCTTTGTCTTTTTATTTGTCTTTGTCTTCGCCTTTTTATTTTCATTTGTCTTTGTCTTTGTCTGTTTATTTTTATTTGTATTTGTCTTTTTATTTATATTTGTCTTTGTCTTTTTATTTATATTTGTCTCTGTCTTTTTATTTTAATTTTATTTGCCTTTGTCTTTGTCTTTGTATTTTTGTTTGTCTTTGTGTTTGTCTTTGTCTGATATTTTTACTTCTCTTTTTTTTTATTTTTACTTGTCTTTGTCTGCATATTTTCTTTGTCTTTTTCTTTTTATTTATATTTGTCTTTGTCTTTGTCTTTTTATTTTTATTTGTCTTTGTCTTTTTATTTTTGTTTGTCTTTGTGCTTGTCTTTGTGGTATACTTTCGCTTGTCTTTGTCTTTTTATTTTTATATCTCTTTATCTGTTTATTTTCTTTGTCTTTGTCTTTTTATTTTTATTTTCCTTTGTGTTTGTCTTTGATATTTTTGCTTGTCTTTGTCTTTTTATTTTTATTTGTCTTTTTCCTTTTATTTTTTTCATCTGTCTTTGTCTTTGTCTTTGTCTTTGTCTTTGTCTCTCTCTGTTAATTTTTATTTGTCTTTGTCTTTTTATTCTTATTTGTCTTTGTCTTTGTGTTTAATTTTTATTTGTCTTTGTCTTTGTCTGTGTATAAATATAAATAAACAGACAAACAAACAACTTTGTCTTTTTATTTTTCTTTGTCTTTGTCTTTGTCTGTATATTTTTATTTGTCTTTGTCTTTGTCTTTAATTTTTATTTGTCTTTGTCTTTGTCTTTGTCTGTGTATAAACATAAACATAAACATAAACAAACAAACAAACAAACAAACAAACAAAAAACATAAACATTTAAACATAAACATAAATATAAATACAAATACAAATACAAATATAAATATAAATACAAATACAAATACAAATATAAATACAAATATAAATACAAATATAAATACAAATATAAAAACAAATAAAAAAATAAAAATAAAAATAAAAATAAAAAAAATAAAAAAAAATAAAAAAATAAAAATAAAAAAAATAAATATATTTATTTTTTTTTGTAGGAGATCTGGGCCCTTGGCCTTTGGGTATA